CCCTACACATAAGTTGAGGGTACAGGCATAAGCAATGTAGTTGAGATTATTCATTCAGTATAACCCTTCTACTACATGGAGTTGTCAAACATGGGATCTCCCACTGTTTACCTGCTGCAAAACTACCCAGAATAGCTCTTCTGCCCCAGGATGCTGGGGGACAGGACTGCCTTGTGGTTGCCAACCTGCTAAAACAGTTATCCCACAAGGCAAGGATATATCCCTAGCCACAATACCATGGCCTTCAGTGTTCTTGTTGAATTTCCATATATTTTGTTGAATAAACACTTCTCAATTTATGGCATACCATTGCTCAATCTGAAGATATTTTTAAATGACTGTCTTTGCTTATTTTGACCAGCTTAGTAGCTGTCTGTTTAAGAAAGAGTTTTCCCCTCTATGTTGTATCAGTTCTTCACTACCTGTTTTGGAATTTTCTGTTTACTTTTTTAGCTTCACTGGATTCTAACTAGGCTCATTGCTTTTTAGCTAGCATTGCTGATGGCTGTCTCTGTTTCCTATAAATACAGCTGACTTATGACATTGGGATTATGTTAGTCCCTTTTTAAAACAATTGTAATGACCACACTTGTCCTCATATCATATCTACACTCTCAGTATCCTCTACCGGTTTCTCTCCTTCTGAAAATGCCCTCATATTTCATTTGCATACTAATTTGGACTGTTCTAGCCAAATTTAACCTTTGAACCAGAGTGTTCACTTGGAATACATCCTCACATATATTAGCCTTCTACATATGTTTATCTTTGGGTTATTTATACTTCAGTATCGTTTGTAGGAAAGACATAGCCTCAACACTTCAATGATAAATACATTCTCACTACAAATTTCTCTGTTGTATTTTAATATTTTTATTAGTATCAATTTTCTCTGTTTTATTTGAATATTCTTAATAGGGTTCTAGGTTTAAAGTTTTACCACATCATAACTTCATGACTATGCATCTTTAAATTAAATACATCTATTAATTTCACACATATGGAAAATTTTAAAACTAAATTAGGTATTTAAATTTTTTGCTTTATTGTCTATATTTCAAAAGTTGAAAATGATCATATGATTGACATATATTGGAAGATTGTTACAAGAGTAAGAATATTGTAAGAGCTCACTTACTTGGTTGTACAGCCTTCAAACATTCCAGTTTTGATGAAATATGGGCATACAATGGTGGTTTTGATTTCAGTTTTGTTTTGTATGCCTAATTCAAGGAAGAGAGACTCAGCCAAACCAAAGGCTGCAAATTTACTTGCAGAATAATCTGAAATGAAGTGACAAACTCTAAGTAACAGTTTGACAAATTAATTCTTTGAATTATCTTAAAAATCCAATCTTCTTCCCTTTCTTTGGCTTATCCTTGGGTATAAAACATCACTGTTAAAATTATTTATGTGGCCAAACACTCCACTCCTATGTCTTCACACTATATATCAAACAAAAAGATGGAAATAACTTAGATTTTTCTTAACTCAGTGATCCAGAAGGCACATTCTTTCTGTGTTCTAATCATTTTAAAAGAGGAAACCAACTCTCCTTACCACTGCCATTGTAAATAGAGAAATGGAAGAGAATTCTGTGATTATAAATGGAGTTAAGTATTACAGGGATTTCCTCTAAGTACAAGAAGAAATTATCTGTACCTTGGAATAGTCTTAACTTCTGGGTGCTGTGTACTAGGGTTTGCACAGACACATGGTAGAACAAAGTACTCACCTACTAGACTGTTAACACCAACCATTCCGGCTATGCTTGAAATACATACCAAGTGGCCATGGTTAGCTTTAATCATGGCAGGAAGGAAGGCCTTGCAAGTCTGGAAGATACAAACAAACTGTGTCAGTATTTCACTCATTGGTTACTTTATTTGCTCAAGTGTTTGATGACTGTACTTATTCACTTAACTAATATGTATTTATCATCAGGGGTTTCTTAGATTCTGTGGCAGCATAAAAATAGGTATCACAGTCATTGTTCTCAAGAACTTGGAGTTTACTATATGTTAATCTATGAGAGATCCTGTTTGATTAATTTTTCTTTTAAAGTACACTACAGTGGGGATAGCAAGTGGCATACTGGTTAAGGCACAGGACTACATGTGGCTGACTGGTGTCCTGGACCTGGTGGCTTAAAAATCAAGCTGGGTGCGTGTGCATGCATGTCCAAAATCCAGGAGGAAAATTTTAGGAGAAGGGATTGTGGGGTGGAGGGGAGTGATTTCTCACTTTCCCTTTCACTGTCTCTGGTGATCACACATGCCCTAAAAAGTAGACTACAGTAATTGAATCAAATGAACATTTTTATACTTATGGTTGGTTAAAAATCAGAAACCTAGCTTTTCTAGTATGCCAAGTCTTCCATGTAGTTTTCAGCCATTTGTACAAAATTTGACCACATTTCCCTGGGGGATGATTTCTCACCTTCTGTCTCTCTGTCTCTCTCTCTGTCTTTCTGGCAAGGACATGTGCCCTTATAGTAAAAACCTCTCCAAAAAAAAAAAAAAATCCATGTGGAAGTGAGTTTACACAGTGTCTACCTTTCTGTGCCCTGCTTATTTCACTTAGTATGCCTTCCAGTTCATTCATGTTGTCATATGACAGAATTTCCTTCTTTTTAAGTCTGTTTAGTACCATAGTGTCTATATAGACCACATTTTCTTCAGTCTAATGCTCTCCCAACTGAGCTATTTCGGCCAGGTTGTGAGATCACATTTTCTTTATCCATTCATCTATTAATGAATTCATAGGTTGCTTCCAAATGGGAGCTACCATTACAGTGGTTTTCCATGCGCATGCACAAATGGTATTATAGTGGAAGAAACTAAGGCAGGAGGAATAATCAACTGCACAGAGCACTTACTTTATATCAGGCACTGCACATGCAGCCATGGGCCATTTGCATCCTCCTTTCAACCAATAAGAGAACTGAGGCCCAAAGTATTTAAATGAACTCTTCAAGGTGATATGACTGGTAAATGCTACGGAAGTCACTTCCCACAGGAGCAAGAAGCTCTCCAAAAAAAAAAAAAATCCATGTGGAAGTGAGTTTACACAGTGTCTACCTTTCTGTGCCCTGCTTATTTCACTTAGTATGCCTTCCAGTTCATTCATGTTGTCATATGACAGAATTTCCTTCTTTTTAAGTCTGTTTAGTACCATAGTGTCTATATAGACCACATTTTCTTCAGTCTAATGCTCTCCCAACTGAGCTATTTCGGCCAGGTTGTGAGATCACATTTTCTTTATCCATTCATCTATTAATGAATTCATAGGTTGCTTCCAAATGGGAGCTACCATTACAGTGGTTTTCCATGCGCATGCACAAATGGTATTATAGTGGAAGAAACTAAGGCAGGAGGAATAATCAACTGCACAGAGCACTTACTTTATATCAGGCACTGCACATGCAGCCATGGGCCATTTGCATCCTCCTTTCAACCAATAAGAGAACTGAGGCCCAAAGTATTTAAATGAACTCTTCAAGGTGATATGACTGGTAAATGCTACGGAAGTCACTTCCCACAGGAGCAAGAAGTAAGAGAAGAAAGACTTTTTATGGAAGAAGTGAATTTATAACTCAGGAGTGTCCTCTCTGAGGCTGGAGTGTCTAGATAGAACTGCCCTTAGAATGATCTCTGATGATAGAAATGGGATCTACTACTGCACTGCCTGGTGACTACTGTCAATAATAATGTATTGCTTATTTCAAGATTGCTATAATAGAGTTTTAATATTTTTGCCACAAAAATGATAAATTGGTGCAGTGATTGATAAGTTTTTAGCTTGATTGAATTCTTCTATGATATTTATATAAATCATACACACACACACATAGAAGTCAAAGCATCACATTGTACTCTGTAAATATATATGATTACTATTTGTCAATTAAAAATAAATGAACTTTTAAAATAATCCCCTTCTCTGCACAAGCTCCTTTTTCACTTAAGAAAAAATTAAATATCTTTTGTATAATCTTTGTCACATTCTTAATTTTTATTTTGGTAAGGAGATTGCTGAAAAGATTAGTAAGTCTTGGGATCAGATGGGAGAAGGCAACTGGAAGGGAATTTCCCTGAGGATTTGGAATAGGGCAAGATCAGGAAAATCAAGCTGGGTATGGTGGGGTAAAACCCAGTGAAAATGAGACCCATTGGTCTATCTCCTGGATGGATATTTACAGACAAATGGTGAACAACTGTTTATAGAAATACATGGAATTTTCATACTCATCAATAAAAGAAAATGAAAAAGAATGATTTACCCAGAAATGAGACAAGGCATTTACAAAAAATGATCTTTCCACCATATGATCTGGAGTATCGAGGAAGGACTTTCCTGTTACAACACCGGCGTTGTTAATGAGGATGGTCACATCACCAACTTCATTTTTAACCTGGTCAGCAGTGAGATAAACATTAATTCAATGCAAGTGTTGCATTTTGATATTTATTGTCTTAAGCTACTATTTTTGTTTTCTTATTTTACTCAAGTATTTTATTTAAAAGTAGATATTTTATTTTTGTCTTGCATATAGAAATTCATCGGTTTGGTAACCTTATCAATTATATTTTTTAAACATACATTGATTTGGTAATTTTGTTGAAAGAATCTTGACTTTTAGGTGGAAATGACTCATAGTACATTGTGACTACTGCCTTTTTTGGAGAGTTTTTTTTTTTTTTTTTTTTTTTTTTTTTTTTTCTAGTAAGAGTGTGCTTTTCATAAAGGATGGCCACACTGCAATTCCTTCTCCATTCTCCTCTCAGGATTTTGGGCATGCTTGCACACGTGCCTAGTGCGAGTTTCAAACCACCGGGTCCAGGACTCAAACAGCAGTTGATTATATGGGAGTCCAGCGACGCAACCATTATGCCATCTGCTGGTCCCAAGTTTATGTTCTTTCTACACAGGGGAGTATCATCCAGCTCTGGGCTCTTCAGCTGTGAAAATCTTTTTTTTTTTTTGCTATAGGGAATGTGTGCTTGCCAGAAAGACAGAGAGAGACAGAGAGACAGAAAGCAAGAAATCTTCCCCCCCTCCCAGGGGGATGGCCACACTATAATCCCTTCTCTTCCATTCTCCTCTTGGGATCTTGGGAATGCACACACACGTGCCTGGGGTGAGTTTAAGCCACTGGGTTCAGGACTTCAACTGTGGTCGACTACATGGGAGTCCAGAGACACTGCTGGTCCTGTGACTACTGTCTTTACCCCTACTTTTGTTATGTTAATCCCCTTTCCTGCTTGGTCACTCAAGCAGTGAGATCTGAGCACCTGTTTCCCAATCTTCTGTCAAAGGTACAGAGGTTTTCCCTCAGCACAGTGGGTGTCTGATGGCTGCTCTGTAGGGGACCTCTTCTGACCCCTCTGTGAACAAGATGGCAAGACCAGATCCCTTCCTCTTTAACTTCTCCAAATTGGATTAGGATAATATTCTCTTCCCGACAGAGGAAGTCAATATACATGCAAGTATATTGCTAAACTAGGTTAATAACTGATTCCCAAGTTTTCAGGTCTAATTGAAGGGCCGGAGTGACTCCATTTAGTTAAACCCACCTTGCTGAGAATTGGCGCCATTTCAAGGAGGCGAGCCGATCATGCAGGAGAAGGTCATAAGACCATCACCCCACCAGGGCTGGCCAATGATAAGAAACAAATACCAGAGACCTGAAGTAACTTTCTTGCCGATCAGTAAAAGACAACTATATTTCTTGAAATCTACAGCCAATGTGTAACTGCCTTAGTTCATTCCTCGACCTCCCCCGCAATAGCCAAATAAAAACTCAGCCCAATTAACACCGGGGCTCTCAACTCTGACCCGCTGTGCCTATAAGATTGGGCTTGAGCCCAATTAAAAGCGGTCCTTGTGTGTTTACATTGGACTACATTGGACTCGGCTCCTTGGTGGTCTCTTGGGAATTTCACGACCGGGGTACAACATTTGGGGGCTTGTTTGGGATTCCCCAAGGCCCCCAGGATCCCCGAACTGGAGATTCGACAGATAACAGCCGGTGAGTGTGTTTCCTTTGTCTCTGTGTTTGTCCTGTTCGGTCTCTGTAATAGATCAGAATTGGTCTAGCGGATGTGCTGGTAGGCCACTGACATTCCAGACCCCCAGGAGGGGACAGAGTGCCCTCAGTCGTTCTGAGTTCTCTGAGGGTACATAGCGGGTTGCTCCCATGGTACGGTGTGAGGCTGTGGTCCCACTTTAGGTTGACTTTTCACTCGGTGAAGAGCATCTGCGTGGCTGCATTTGTCCTGTCTGTGTGTTTATTACCTATGTCTGCTGGTGTGTACGTTTTTCTGATGGAAATGGGACAAACTCAGACTTCCCCTCTGAAGCTTATGATGGAACATGCCCTCAGGAATGGTTAACCTGCTTGCTTTGCTTCTGTAACCAGCGTTTTTACTTTAAAGGAAGAGAAACCCCTTCACTTTGTTCCTTTGTCCTTGTGAATCATCAAGTCAGTCCTGCCGGCTTAATCAATAAACTCCAATAAATTTGGCTATGTCTGGATGTCCTCTCATTTCTCGCTGAGTAGATTATAACATCTAGAGGCCCCAGTGAGATCGCGTAGCTGTCTGATACCTGGGTGAGGACTCCTAGGGAGAACAGCCTCACTTGGCCTGGCTGCCGGCTACTCAGGACTGCTCTAGGGGAGGCACCACCTGGGATTCCCCAAGACCCCCGAGCTCCTCTCAGGATTGTTGGCAGCTGACAAGAGATGCTGATGGCTCCTCCAAAAGTCTGTGGAGTTTTGTTGTAAAACCTCCAGAGGCATTTCTTTGGGTGTTCCTGTTCTGGCCTATCTGCTTCAGTGAAGACAAACCGGTGAGTAAGGGGTTGCCACGAAACAGGGAGGGAATCCCAGGCAGGGTTTGAGTCCCTGGAAGGCCCCTGAAAGTCCAACCTGCAGGAAATCAGGGTTAGAGTCCCTGACAGGGACTGAATCCCTTGGTTGAGGGTTTGAGTCTCTGCACAGGTGGCTAGATTCAAGGCTGACCGGACAAGGTTATAGAACCCCTACTTAGGTTCTACCAGATATGCTAAAATCTGGGGGATAGATGATAAGGGGTTTGAGTCCCCTCCTAGCCCTTAGACAGTTTGTGGAAAATCAAGGTTAAAGTCCCTGACAGGGTTTGAGTCCCTGAAAGTTTCAGGGTCTTTTTAAATGGGTTTCTTCTGCTTTTACTGTTATTGGACATATTTTCTCCATGCTCTCTTGGATTGGTGGGAAGGAACGTAGTACCCTCTTGTGTGCATGATGAGTGAATGACTGTGTTTGTGGCCCCACAGCTATGGCTGCGGCACAGGAATGAGTCCCTGACAGGGTTTGAGTCCCTGGGAAGACAGAGTTTGAGTCCCTGGAAAATCAGGGTTTGAGTCCCTGGATATCTTAGGATTTTTTTATGGGTTTCTTTTGTTTCTTCTGCTGTTTTAATTATTTCCTCTGCACCCTCTTGGAAAACATCACTTGGTTCCATCCCTCCTCCTCCTCACTTGAGGGTACCAAGTAATGGAATATTGATCAAGGAGTTCTTCAAGAACCGATGATCCCTACATTCAGAGTACTATTGCTGAAAACTGCGCTGTGACCATAGGAGGTGTGGGTAGAGGCAAGAGGGTCCTGGAATGTCCCAGGGTACATCTTGACCAAAGAGCATACTTGCCTTTTAGAATTCATGAAAGGCTGGAACAGCTCTTGTAAAGTCCCTTAGAATGCATGCTTAAGCATTTCAATGAGGCATGTGTGGAAAGTTGTGATTATGGCATCAAACTCTCCATCCCCAAACTGAGAGGGCCTTTTAAAAACATCACACTTAAATGGGGTAGAAATATCAGGAATATTAGTGTTGTAAAAATTCTAGTGGTATAGGCAACAAAAAGTTAAAACCCACCTTTCTTGAGTGTATAACTAAAGATTCCAAAAAAGGGGGAGATGCTCTAAAGAGTATTAGTGTCAAAGTAACCCCAGGGAGATTGGCTCTTATAGTCCTGATGTGTGTGTGCACCTATACATGTAGTTTGTCATGTTATGTACTGTATGTTGTATGTCTGTGTGAATAAAAAGGCCTTAAAGAATTCTGTTCAATTTAGTTTATAAAAAGAGCACTCATACGAATTAGTTTAAATGCTTTTCAAGTTCATATAACTTTAGTGAATGAGCAGGCTTCAAGTGTAATGAAAGAAAAAGATTAATAAGTGAAAGTCTTCACAATTTCCAACACATATTTTGTCTAGGTTTTCATTGATCAAGCAGCATCACGTTTATCTTAATATGGTTGGTTGGTTTAATAAAACAGCTAGTCTTTATGTGCTGTGTCTTGCATAGTGGATATCTAATAGAGAAATGAATTCATGACTAGCTTTTTCTGGCTTTAGTTTTAGTGCTCGCAGAGTATCTCTGATCTCAAAGTAACCCTGGGATGTTTACAGAGGGCCCGTGAAACATCCAAAAGGGGAATGGTTAAACCAATCAGACTTACTGTTTATATGTTGGATAAAAATAGAAAACCTTGTCAAATTAAGTAATTCTAATTCTCTTGATATTATATTTGAGGTATGTATATATATATATATATGAATATCATGTGCTTGTATGCCTATATATGCATTGTATTCCAAAATAATTTGAGATTCTCAGGAGTTAATGGTAGGCTATTAAGTTAAGCTGGTATATATAGCCAAATTTCTTTGGCAGTTATAAATTTTTGTGAGAGTATTAGCTATGGCTCTAATCCTAATGTCATTTCCTTAAAGAAATTCACAAAGAAGATGAAAAGAGAATGTACTCTTACAAGTCCAGGTTTCTAAAGAAATCTAGTCATTTGGGTAAAATCTTCATTTTCTATGTAAACTAATTGGTTTTCTAAACTGTTAAGCCAAGGTTGGCCAAATTAAAATGAGGAAATGTTTGCCAAGGTTGCATGTTGCATGGTCAATGCAATGCACCTGAGTTAAAAGGTAAAATTGGTATAAAGGGATCAAAATCCAATGTTGAACATGGACTCATGAAAACATTGCCTGGTTCCCTCTGATTCCTCTTTATAGTTCTTATTATTAAGTTAACATGTTTCTGTTGTTCCTTTTATTGTTCTTTTTAAATTGTAAAAATATTGAGAGGGTCTATTAGAAAATTGTTCAATTTTACATGGAAAAGTTGCTAAAGAAGTTTTGTTATTCTTTATACATGTTCATAAGCTGCTGGTATTTGCTAAAATTTAGGGTTGCCAAAAAAATAAACAATTTGCTCTATATAGATGTATGACAAGCTTAATAGCTCCTTTAAAACATCAAATTTCTCAAGGTTAAAAAAAAAAAGATAAATGTGCATAGTTGTTAAAAATTAGGGGAACCAGCAGTTAGCGTAATGGCTATGTCGCTGGACTCCCA